CAGCAGTTAAATCAAGAATGCCTAAACGTAAAAATTCATCTATGAGAAAATGGCATTTTAGCCAATTCAACTCACAAAGCAATACATGGAAGAGAAAATTCAAGCCCAGGCCCTCAGCTGACAGCAGCAAGCTTTACCACAAAGCTAAAAGCTTTACTATTCTCAACACGGTTTACTTTCCCTAGGCAGCGGTACATCTCTTACTGCCATTTATCTCAATTTAACAAACTATTACATATCTGGGAGTTTTGGACACTAGATGATTTAGGCTCTTAATTTACAATCATTTGAGATCTGAATAGGAGACTGCTTATCTCAAACTTAATTTCAGAAATATTTTTGCTTCTTTTATATTTTTCAGTTTAACAAGAAAATACATTTGCAGGAGTAAAATGTACCTATTACTAGAAATCAACAGTTAATGTAGATATAGTTACATTTATTTGTCTTGGAAAGAAGATACAAATCCTATTCTGCCCCCCTGCTCCCAGCTTTTAAGCTAAGGACTGCTCCATGCTAGAAAAGAATCTTTACTCATCACTACTGTTATCAGAAGATCTGCATGCAATATTGATTTTTTCATTATTCACTCATAACCATTTAAATAACAACAAAACCCAGGATATTGCTTTCTCCCAAGTAGAAAGAAGCAGAGTAAATATAATTAGGTTTTAATTAAAAAGGATGTGGATTTGAGTCATTTTTTATGCCAGTACTAAGTATTACCAATAATTAGAGCTTTGCTTTAATTATGTCCTTCCTAGAAACAACAGGATTAGAAGCATTTATTGACTGCAAGCGGTGGCTGAAGGACAAGAGACTCACAGCACTTATGAACAGTCGTCTATAAATGCAAATAAAGAAAAGACAGAATGAGAACATGAAAGTGGTCATTACGAAACAAAACCACCCCGATTCTATTAAGTGGGTTTCAAAAGATGCTTTAGGGGACAGATACTCAGGCTACAGTTTCATCCCAGGTTCAGGAAATTCATAAGCAAATCACAAATTTGCCTGATCTCCAGGCACTCCCCTTATTTCAAGTACTTAAGAACATCAACTTTTTCAGTAAAACCGTAACGCTGCTTCTTTGAAACAAACTGTTCACACATGCCTACTGCCACAGACGTGAACAGCAAAGTTAATCAGTTGTACACTTTCAGTTTCCTTACAAGCATGAAGGTGACTTCATTTACAACTTTGAAAATATCAAGAGAGTCCTAGTATTGCTGTCGGACTATTCAAGTCAATGTTTCTCAACACATGATCTGTAAAAGGAGAGAGGCATTCTCACTCATGCAAGCAAGCCAATAATTTGTGGGAAAATAAAAGTGAAAATTCAGATTTTAGCTTATAAAAATCGTAAATTAATTGCATTCTTATAGCAATTGCTATGTGAACAGTCGAGATAGACTTCACAAAGGAATAAACAGGAATCAATTTTATCATCAACTAGATTACTTTTATATGTTGCAAAAATCTTTGTATAGCAAAACAAGACTATTCAGAGAACAGTATTTCCTGTTTATATCAACACTTTCTTTTGTGTGCTATACCATGAAAAAATACCCTGAGCATACACATTTGGGTTTTTTCAGGATTAGCTCTGAATCACAAACACAAGTGAAGACCATATATTCTAGTCGAGTTTTTTGGAAATTAAGTAGATGTGACAAAGAGAAAGCTAATCATGGGATTAATGGAACAGACAAGCATGACAACCAGGAGATTGTTTTTAATTATTTTGGATGCAAACACTACACATGGTGCAGGGACCTATTATACCAGGCAATGTACAAGGACAAACTTCCCTAGCAACAAAACCAGTAACTGTTAAATCCTGGAGGTTTTAAGAACTATTCCATGACATTAAAGCACATCTGGCTTTCATTTTATATACTGTTCCAGCAGTAGCACAATTAGGTTAATAAATTAACACCTGTAGCCCACCTGTAACTGTTTGTTATTCCTCTTCCTCTTTCCTATCCTCATCCTTTCTCAACAGGGTTTCACCTGCTGATTACAGAGCAACATCTGCAGTTGTTCCCTAAGTAAGCTCTATCAAAATTATCTAGGCTGTTAAACATTTGTTTAAATTCAGATCATTGTAAAAGGCTCAGGTTCAGGAATGATCTCAGCCAATCTAAAAATGGAGCAATCTGTTGCAGGAAGGGACAATGGCGACAAGCACCATAGGACAGATCCTCAGATGTCCTTCAGAACAACGTATTTTATTCATCTTCATTTATCATTTCTGTAGCGTTGAGTTCCTCATCAGTATAGAATATAATTTCCTGGTTCCTATTCTGTGTGTGTACAAAATTTTTTAAAGGTAGAGGCAACCTCATACTATGATGTTATAAAACCAACTCCAAATATAGGCAGGGCATCTACAGGTTACAAATAACTCGTATTTATTATGACAAAAGCATGTTAAATTGGTGTTTGTAGACTACTACATAAGGATTTCTATATGGAGCTAAAGGACTATATCCTATCCAAAAGTCATTAAATATATATTACTTGTCTAAAATGACAATATTCTGGATATTCAGTTTCAACGGTACCACATCTGCACAAGTACTTAAAACAGTTCCTGTCCTACAGAACTTGCAATCTAGAGCAATAGGTATTGCTGTCCTAAAGTTGAGGGTGGAGAAGATAATGTTTGTTTGAAAATAAATCATTGTATCAGGTTTTGATTATTTTAAATATGCACTGGTCAGTACTCAACAGTCCCACCACTTGGTAGGACTGAGTTTTGTATTCATCTTTTGCTTAAAGTAAATCTTTAAGATTATTATCTTTAAGATAACCACCACTTCTCAAAAAAGCCAGCAAGTCTATTCAAACTCAACCCCCGTAACTCCTTCCAAAAAGAATAGATGCTATGTGACTAGCAAAGTGCATATGTTTTTCTATCTTCCTCCTCATTTAAAAACATTGTAGTTGCAACGTACATTTAAAAAAAAACTGGTCTGTACAGTCATTTAGATTTTTTATGTCATTTCTCAACAAGCTAATTGATTTTAGATGTACTACAAACATGCACTTTAAACCACAATTGTTAGCACTTTGCCTATATCGACATGACAAGGTTCCATGCTGTTATAAAAATATAAAGCTTACCAGAACCATTCCAGCTTTATT